TGCTTTTAGAGACCTCTATCCTATCCCCCCTCAGTCTCCTCTTTTCTAAGCTGAAAAGTCCCAGTCTCTTTAGCCTCTCTTCATATGGGACCTGTTCCAAACCCCTGATTATTTTAGTTGCCCTCCCCTCTCCCACCATCTGTCTTCCCCTCTCCCACCTCCTTTTCCCAGTCTCCCCAAGTTTTGTTCAATAAAGAGAGTTTCTATTTTTGAACACACGTGTCCTTTATTTTGTACATGAGGATGGGGGGCTAGGGATGGATAAGTGGAAGGAGGTGAGGGAGGAATGGAGTACGAGCCCCCAATGGGGAGGACTGGGCTGGCTCTGTGGGCTCCTCGGAGTGGAAGCTCTCCTGAAGCCCCTTGATTGACCCCCCCTCCAGATGGCAGGCTGTGGCAGGTGCAGCCGGGCTGATGGCCGAGTGCTGTGATGTGCCCAGTGTGGGCATTCAGGGCACTCCAAGCCAGGACTGCTTTGCAAGTGGGGAATCCCTGAGAACTGTCTGTCTGGGGTGGGGGTCAGGACCCTTTAAGCACAGCCCTCGGCTAGCTTGAGACAGCAGCTCCACGCTCTAAGTCCTAACTTGATGCCCTGCCGGCACTTCTTCCAGCCATCCTTAACCCTGGTTCAGGGTCCACTTAATGTGGACATGCTAGTTCGAATTAGCAAAATGCTAATTCGAACTAGTTTTTAAGTCTAGATGCGCTAATTCGAATTAGCTTAGATCGAATTAACTAATTCGAATTAAGTTAGTTCGAATTAGTGCTGTAGTGTAGACATACCCTTAGGTAGCACTTTTCATCAGTAGATTATAGAGATATATTCCTTTAACATTGTTGCTTTGTTAATTTTCCAGGGAGAAACCTTTCTTGTATATAGTCTTTGCCAAAGTGATATGCAACTAAACAGATCTTAATATATTTACAACTTTTCCCACTTAAAATACATCATATCATTAATATCATATAATCAATCAATATTTTAATATAATAATGTTTACTAAACTGGAACCTTCTCATTATTGCTCATGATACCTAAGTTGTTATATTTACTCCATAATGTATTTAAATAATGATGGTTCAATCTTCAGCTGGTCTAAATTGAGGTCTGGCATAAAGTTGAAATTAATGGAGCTAAACTCATGTACATTAGCTGAGGATCTGGTATGAATAAACTATAATGGTAAAGTTTTTGTTAGTATTACATAAATACAGTTATAATGAGTCCTATTCAGCTGATCAAATTCATTGTTATGCCAACTATTACACAAGTAGGAATTATTAAGAAGAATATTAAGAAAATCTATAGAAGTACATACATACTGATAAGTGGTCTGATATATTCCACACTTTTTCTTGCATAGAACTAATATTGTGATATTGCCCATGTTGCTTGCCATCAAGCATTCCTTAGTACACAGTTTCTATTAGAGGAAATGGTACATAGCAAAATCCTTGTGTATTAATTTTGTATAATCTGCTATAAAATGATTTTACACAGAAGCACTTTTACATATAGAAATTTTCATTAAACCATCTGTTTTTACTGCATACAAAAGTTGAAACAGTTTTGCACATTTAAAACAATTAATTAATTTTTATTAGACAGTCATATCTGTTGATTTGTGGTTTAATCAGATGTATGTGTCAGTCCGTTTACTAGGACATTTACGGTGTGCTTATCGTACCATTACCTTTTACTTCATGTATTACACATTGCAAATGACAACAGCAATTACTCTAATTATTCTAAAAGTTATTTCTGTTCCTCATATTCTGTCATTCCAATTATTTAAATGATCTAAAATGATTAAATATTATAAAACCACATTCATTTTCAACCCATTTATCTCCCCTTAATTGATTGTCCCTAATCATCCATTTCATGACATAAAGTAGGTGCCAGGAGTCACTGTAAAATCACAAAAAAATATTTACATCATTGTCTGTTTTAAAGTAAAATTGTAAGAGCTGGTTGATCACTGTATTGAAATTTAGTTTCATTGTGAAGTAATTCTTCAATAGAAGGAGTAATAGATTATTATTATTTATTTACCCAACAAGAGCAATTTGACTGTCCTGGCATCCCGCTCTGCATCTTCCTGGAGTTTCTTTTCTAGTTCTTTAGATCTTCTCGCAGACTCCTTACTCTCTGAACTGACACCACTACCCATGGTGTGGTGTAACAGAATCCGTTTATTGACCTAGCTGGTTGATTTCTAATTAGAAGATCTGCTTTTGTTCAAAGAGCCCCTGCAAAAGCAATGTTATCAGGGAGTCTAAAATTCCCATTCAGACTCTTAACTGCAGATTGCTTTCAGACTAAGCAGTTGCTTTTGATTCATCACATGATACAGAGATGGCACACAAAAAAAGATTTACATAGGTACATGGAATTAGTGTGTTATGATGTCAAAAAATTAAAATGCCCTACTCGGCTATTATAGCTCTGGAGAATCATGATACAGGAATTTCCATACCGGATAACAGCAGGAGTACATCTAGTCCAGTATTCAGTCTGTGACAGTGGTAGGTACCAGATGGTTCAGAGGAAGGTGCAAGAAACCAGAAGTGGGCAATTACAGAATAACTTAGTTATGCAGAAAGTTAGTCTCTCTTCCCAGAAGTCAGTGGCTGTGTTATGCCCTGAAGCCTACAGGTTTATTAATCCCTTCCAAACATTTGGCTGTATTTATTTTTTTTAATCCATACAAATGTAGCTCAGATTGTTCTTGTTATCCCCATAGAAATGTCGAGGTTAGGGGTAGTTATTGATGACATCACATCTTTTAAGAATGAATTAATTATTAACATGCCCACACATATGAGCATATGAATTGACTCCTATTCAAACTCTGTAACAATATGTAGCTGCAGGAGTACACTTTTGTGTGGTACCTTTTGGGAAAAGCTATGGCATTCCCTGCCAATTCCTACCACCCCATTTAGTTTCATTGTGAAACAATTCTTCAGTCGAAGGAGTAGTAGATTATTATTATTTATTTACCCAACAAGAGCAGTTTGACTTTCCCGGTGTCCCACTTTGCATTTCCTGTAGTTGGAGGTTTAGTTAGAAATATAATTCTCCCTTGATTTTGGGTGGAAGAACAGGTTTTTCTAAAGACCAAGCATTAAATGTTCTTTCTTGCAATGATATCTCTGTGCCAGTTTGCCAGTGCAATGGGGCTCCAAAGCAAACCTGGTGGAAATTTCCCCTGGCATGAGGAAGTCACTTGTGCCATGGAAGTGGTTGCTATAATCCATACCTGGGAAAAAGCTGGTACACAATCCAAAATGACTGAAGGGATGGAAACAACTCCTTTCAGTCCCCTCTGTCCAACTGCATGCATTGCATATTGCGGGATTATAATTCAAATGATGTCTAGTTCTTAGTTATTCCTTACTTTAAACTGTTTTAAAACTCAGTGGGGGAAATCCTGGCCCTGAAGTCAATGAGAGTTTTGCTATTGACTTTAACGATACCGGTGTCACACTCAACAAAAGTTTTGCCATATTGAATGGGTAAGTAGGTGCTCAGACTCCGTACTGATGAGGATTAGACAAGTTGCTTTGCCCAGGTCCCTCCTCTCTGTGCATCTCCCCTTTCTCTATTGCATCAGACTTAAGCTTCACTTTCAAGCTCTTTTATGACCCATCTCCCCCAGACCTGCCATCTTACTCAGAAGGGAAAAGTTGATTCTCACCTCTGATTAGCACATGCCGAAAGCCTCCAGCACCAGGCTGCCCCTCATGCGTAGGGAGAGTTCCCTGCAAACATCTTCAACTCATTCATTATCCCCCTTCAAAACCTTCCTCAAAATTAGTCTTCTCTTGAATGTTTACTGAACATTTGTCAGCAGTTAGGCTGCCTCTCCAGAGACTACTGCTGAGCATGCTGGCCGATATTGTCCCCTTATTTCCTTGTTCCCCTGTCTTGATTGACCTGTTGTCTCTTGTCTTATAGCTAGACTGGAAATTCTTTATGTCAGGGACCACCTGTTTTTGCTGTGTGTTTGTACAGCAGCTAGTGTAATGACATTCTGTTCCATGAGTAGGGCTCTTTGGCTTTCCAGTGAACCAAATAGAAAATTTCAGGATTTATTCCACAAATAATAACGGAGGGAAATACCAGTGACAAGATAGAAACAGGTGAAATTAGATATGTTTTCAGACAAGAAGTGACACAATAATGACTGCAGAGGGGGTGGAGACACTAATACAGGTTGAACCTCTTTAGTCCAGAACTCTCTGGTCCAGAAACATACGTTATCTGGTGTGATTTTAGTTAGCAGGATGTCCACTTTTCATGGGTGTGGCCAAGTTTCCCATGGTCCCATAAAGTTTGTTTATGGTCACCAGTCCTGGCTCTCAGTGTTCTGTGCTGTTATTTAGCTCTAATTTACTCCTCAAAGTCCTCTAACAGCCCAGTAAGCAGTGGAAGTATTGATTATGTTGCTAGACAATATTGACATCCTGTGGTCTGGAAAATGCTCTGGTTCATAGCTGGTCAGGTCCCAAGGGTGCCAGTTTAGAGAGGTTCAACAGTCTGGGATCAGGACTTGCAGAGGAGATTCTGTTCCCAGCAGTGGCCAGAAAACCAACAGTCAGAGGAAGGAGGCCAGTGCCAGATGACATGAGTATGCAGAGAAAGGAGTAAAGAGAGAGTATTCATGGTATCAATTGGCTACATTTCCCTTAGAACAGAAGGAAGACATTTTCTAATTGAGGAATAGAGCCTTTCGTCTGTGCAGGTCCCATTAGCTAATGAGCATTATCCCCACACATCAAGAATACAACATAACCCAGTGCAAAGGTCTACAGATTTGCTCATTCAGGACTTCCTTATTACTCTGTTAAGTAGCTCTGCCAGAACCATTGCTCTTCTATAGGTGTGAAACCAGTTGGTAAGTGTCAACAACTGAGTTTTGCATATTTATTTACACAGCAAAAAAACATTCTGCTGTGTTAAGTCAACAGTCCTGCTATGCTTATTCTTTAAAATAACCGGTAATAAGATCTCTGTGCATAAGCAAATCTTTCCAGTATTTCTTTAAGAGATGAAATCACAGAGCCATATCATTCCAATATGTGTGCCAGGCACCTGTTTATTAGAATTTGAGCCCTGATTAGTGTCAGAGCAATCAATTTTTAGAGCAATATATCTATATATGCAATTCTTAATATTAAAGGGTATGTCTACACTACAACGTTAATTTGAACTTAGTTCGAACTAAGCTGATTTGAATTAACAGATCCAGACTAAAAAACTAGTTCGAATTAGCGTTTTGCTAATTCGAACTAGCATGTCCACATTAAGTGGACCCTGAACCGGGGTTAAGGATGGCCGGAAGCAGTACCGGAAGGGCATCAGAGGAGGACTTAGAGCGTGGAGATGCTGTCTCAGGCTAGCCGAGGGCTGTGCTTAAAGGGACCCGACCCCCACCCCGGACAGACAGTTCTCAGGGGTTCCCCACTTGCAAAGCAGTCCTGGCTTGGAGTGCCCATAGTACCCACACTCGGCACATCACAGCACTCGGCCATCAGCCCGTCTGCACTTGCCGCAGGCTGCCATCCAGAGAGAGGAGGCAATTGGGGAGCTGCAGGAGAGCTTCCACCCCGAGGAGCCTGAAGAGCCAGCCCAGTCCTCCCCATCGGGGGCTCGTGCCCCATTCCACCCTCACCTCCTTCCACTTACCCTTCCCTAGCCCCCCTTCCTGATGTACAAAATAAAGAAAACATGTGGTCAAAAATAGAATCTCTCTTTATTGAACAAAACT